TAATAATAACTTTTTTATAATATGATTCTACCACTAAATAAATAGGTTTGTTTTCAAAATGACAAATCTGCCACCAAATTGGTAAAACTAATACTCTATTTCAAAAATTTGTAAATTTATAAAAATTACTTAAAAATGTAATAAAAAATTCTGATATTCTAATAAATACGACAATTTTTAGTTAAAAATTCATTTCATGATGTGATTCTACCGCCAAATAAATAAGTTTGTTCTCAAAATAACAAATTTGTCACCAAATTAGTAAAACTGATTGCAAAAATTATCTGTAGGTAAATTTATGAAAATCAGTTAAAAATGTAATTAGAAATCTTGATATTCTAATAGATAGATCATTTTTTAGTTAAACACTACTTTGAAAATAATAATAATAATAAATAGATGTGTTTTCAAAATAACAAATCTGTCACCAAATTGGTAAAACTGATGCTTTATTTCAAGAATTATTTGTAAATTTATGAAAATCATTTAGAAATCCTGATATTCTACTAGATACATAACTTTTTAGTTAAAAACTACTTTTATGATAATATTATTTTACCACCAAATAAGTAGAATTGTTATAAAAATAACAAATCTGCCACCAAATTGGTAAAACTGATGCTCTATTTCAAAAATAATTTGTAAATTTATAAAAATCACTTAAAAATGTAATTAGAAATTCTAACAGATACCACAATTTTTAGTTAAAAATTCATGTCATGATGTGATTCTGCCTCTAAATAAATAAGTTTGTTCTCAACAAACAAATCTGTTACAAAATTGGGAAAACTGATGCTCTATTTCAAAAATTATTTATAAATTTATTAAAATCACTTCAAAATGTAATTAGAAATCTTGATATTCTAGTAAATACAACATTTTTTAGTTGAACACTACTTTCAAAATAATAATAATAAATAAATTTGTTTCAAAATAAAAATCTGTCACGAAATTGGAAAAACTGATGCTCTATTTAAATTAAAAAAATATTTGTAAGTTTATGAAAATCACTTGAAAACATAATTAGAAATCCTGATATTCTAGTAGATCCATCATTTTTTAGTGATAATGTATATACTTTTTTTAATAATATTATTCCACCACCAAATAAATAAGTCTGCTCTTAAAATAACAAATTTGTCACCAAATTGATTGTGTAAATTTATCAAAATCAGTTAAAAATGTAATTAGAAATCTTGATATTCTAGTAGATATATGATTCTACCGCTAAATAAATAGTTTTGTTTTCAAAATAACAAATCTGTCACCAAATTGGTAAAACTGATGCTCAATTTCAAAATTCTCTGTAAATTTATGAAAATCACTTAAAAAATAATTAGAAATCTTGATATCTCGTAGATACATCATTTTTTAGTTAAAATTTACTTTTATAATAATATGGTTCTACCACTAAATAAATAGGTTTGTTCTCAAAATAAGAAATCTGCCACCAAATTCATGAAACTGATGCTCTATTTCAAAAATAATTTGTAAATTTACATAAAAATCACTTAAAAATGTAATTAGAAATTCTGATATTCTAATAGATACGACAATTTTTAGTTAAAAATTTATTTCATGATATGATTATACTATCAAATAAATAGATTTGTTTTCAAAATAACAAATCTGTCACCAAATTGGTAAAACTCAGCTCTACTTTAAAATGTAATCAGAGGTCCTGATGTTCTAGTAGATAAGTCAATTATTAATTAAAAAACTAGTTTTAGTATGTGATTCAACCAACAAATAAATGGGTTTGTTCTCAAAAAAAAACAAATCTGTCCCCAAATGGGTCAAACTAGTCTATTTCAAAAATTATTTGTAAATTTATCAAAATCACTCGAAAATTGTAATTATAAACTTAGAATTTAGAAAACACTGATTTTATTTGTTGACAAACATTTTTTTTAAACTTGAAATTAATTATTAATTATCATTATGTAATTATAACTACTTTTTTTTTCTTATCTTCTATGACTCCGTTTGACTTTTAGGAAATCTTAGCTGAAACACCCTGTATGTCATTGCGGGTGACAAATAAAAAAAATAGTGCTTTAACATGTTTTCCATTTTATGTAATATATGTTTCAAATTGCTGTGAACAGTAAAAAAAGAATCGATGAAAATTTTGTATTTCTGGTATTTAGTTGCTATGTAATAAACGTTCATTCTGACAAACTAATAAAAATGATCATTCATTGCCTGGCAACAAAATATTTTTCTCTCTTTTAACAATTTTATCAACTGTTACCTAGCGTCTGGAGATCAAATTGCACATCAAATTTATCCAGTTGCTAGGTAACATTGACGGAAACAATAGAATTATTTTCATTAAATAATTGACTTTTCAATTTTACAAAAATTGATAATCATTTTCGATTATTTTGAAGAAATTTGAAATTAATTTTATAAGAGCACTCCGACGGAAAGTTTGACAATTTACGTAAATGTTCGAAATTGTTTTATTATTAAAATTGGGGGAAAACTCGAAAAAGCAACTTGTAATTGAAGGTTTTACTACCAGTTTATTGTAGGAAATTTGACTATGTTACATAATATATCAAATTGGAATATTGTGTAAGTCAGTGGAATTAATAGACAAAGAAATAAATGTTCGTGGGTGGAATTATTATTAAATCTCTTTGAAATCCATATCGCATCACATTCAATTGTCTCAAACTCGATATATTGTTTCGAAAATATCAATATGTTCCAACAAAAGCAAATGCGGACATTTTGAAAATAAAATGGTGTTAAAATCGCCATTAAAAGTGCACTTTTTGAAACCACCTCAAAGCCGCCTCTTACCAATGCACTTGCCAGTGGTCAGAAAACGTTTTATTTCAACACTGTCGTCACTGATAACTCACTAACTAAAACGCAAGAAAGAGACCCCAGGTCACACTGTGCTTTCGACCCTTTGCTGCACTGGCGTAGCGTATGGAGGGATGAAGGGCGCATGCAGACATGCGCTTAAGAAAACCCGATTGAAAAGGAAGAAATTAATGTGGGCGATTTTTTGCCGGAATTGTGGTACCTCTGCATTTACATAAATTGCATTTAGGGGAATCACACTTGTTGTGCTTTCAAATTGGCGGAGGCGCCGGGAAATAACACTCTGAAAATGAAATTTTTTCCTGATTTTAGCGAAAAATTGGTGTTTTGAACTCCGCTGTGCCACCACACCCCCGGCCAGTGTCTCTGATTTAATCCAATCCAATTATTTTTCCCGAAACTACGTTTTTTGAGTCCTAGAACTGTATTAGGATCAATTTTTAAGTTTTTAATTTGCAAAAATGTTATTTTTGTAATATTTTTACACAATTGAAAAGTACTATAACATATTTTTTCTTCTAGAAGTGTTCAAATGACATTTTAAATGTGTAAGTGTCATAATTGTCATTATTGATAAGAGGAATGTCAAAAATGACAGTTCCTAATGTCAAATTTATCATTCAAACGGTTGTTTTATTAATAATATGACATAATTGTCATTATTGACACGAGAAATGTCAAAAATGACAGTTCCTAATGTCAAATTTATCATTCCAATGGGTGTTTTATTAATATTATCGCTAATTTTATCACATTTATTATTAAAATTGCTAGTAAGTGGACAGATTTTTTACGTAAAAGCTTTTTAAGAAATGATTTCTATTAAAAAGTACTATAACCTATTTTTTTCTTCTAGAAGTGTTCAAATGACATTTTAAATGTGTAAGTGTCATAATTGTCATTATTGACAAGAGAAATGTCAAAAATGACAGTTCCTAATGTCAAATTTAATTCAAACGGTTGTTTTATTAACATTATTAAAGTTGCTAGTAAGTGGGCAGATTTTTTACATAAAACTTTTAATTAAAAAAGTTAAGTTTTTTTATTAAAAAGTACTATAATATATTTTTTCTTCTAGAAGTGTTAAATGACATTTTAAATGTGTAAGTGTCATAACTGTCATTATTGACATGAAAAATGTCAAAAATGAGAGTTCCTAATGTCAAATTTATCACTCAAACGGGTGTTTTATTAAAATTATCGCTAATTTTATCACATTTATTATCAAAACTTAACAAAACCCGATTGAAAAGGAAGAAATTAATGTGGGCGATTTTTTGCCGGAATTGTGGTACCTCTGCATTAACATAAATTCGCATTTAGGGAATCACACTTGTTGATCTCTATTAAAAAGTACTATAACATATTTTTTCTTCTAGAAGTGATCAAATGTCATTTTAAATGTGTAAGTGTCATATATTGACACGAGAAATGTCAAAAATGTCAGTTCCTAATGTCAAATTTGTCATTCAAACGGGTGTTTTATTAATATTATTGCTAATTTTATCACATTTATTATTAAAATTGCTACTAAGTGGACAGATTTTTTACGTAAAAGCTTTTTAAGAAATGATTTCTATTAAAAAGTACTAGAACCTATTTTTTTCTTCTAGAAGTGTTCAAATGACATTTTAAATATGTAAGTGTCATAATTGTCATTATTGACAAGAGAAATGTCAAAAATGACAGTTCCTAATGTCAAATTTATCATTCAAACGGGTGTTTTATTAATATTATCGCTAATTTTATCACATTTATTATTAAAACTTAACAAAACCCGATTGAAAAGGAAGAAATTAATGTGGGCGATTTTTTGCCGGAATTGTGGTACCTCTGCATTAACATAACTTGCATGAAATTATTTTCAGAGAAAAATTGTTGTTTTGAACTCCGCTGTGCCACCACGCCCCCGGCCAGTGTCTCTGCTTTAATCCAATCCAATTATTTTTGCGAATCTACAACGTTTTCGGAGTCCTAGAACTGCATTGGAACCAATTTTTAAGTTTTTAATTTTTAAATTTTGGTCGATTTTTGGCTACAACCGGATATAAGTAATAATTTTACGGAGCCAAAAATGTTATTTTTGTAATGTATTTTCACTATTTTTACACAATTACAACGTACTATATCATATTTTTTCTTCTAGAAATGTTCAAATGACATTTTAAGTGTCATAATTGTCATTATTGACACGAGAAATGTCAAAAATGACAGTTCCTAATGTCAAATTTATCATTAAAACGGGTGTTTTATTAATATTATCGCTAATTTTATCATATTTATTATTAAAATTGCTAATAAGTGGACAGATTTTTTACGTAAAAGCTTTTTAAGAAATCATCTCTATTAAAAAATATTATAACATATTTTTTCTCCTATAGAAGTGTTCAAATGACATTCTAAATGTGTAAGTGTCATAATTGTCATTATTGACATGAGAAACGTCAAAAATGACAGTTGCTAACGTCAAATTCATCATTAAAACGTGTGTTTTGTTATTATTATTAAAATTGCTAGTAAGTGGGCAGATTTTTCACGTAAAAGCTTTTTAAGAAATCATCTCTAATAATGCTTCACTTCATGAATAAATTGTAAAGCATTTAGGTTTAATTGAAACTTTGAATAAAAAGAAATTAACATTGAATTCCTCGACTGTCTAAATTATTTCACATGAAACACTAAGTCACATACGACATTTTAATAATTAATTGCTCTTAAAATAGGATTTATTTCAACATTCGGTATCGCTCTCTCGAGACTTGCAAAGGTCCAGCAGGCGTTGCAAGTAAACCGGCGCCCTCTAGTGCCTTCCACGATCGATAAACGCTTGAAACACCCCCTCTAAATAGACCAATCCTGTAGCCACTTCAAGTGTTTTTATTTCTCATTGCATTTCTTTTTAACAAACACATTTTTTTATTTAATAATAAGCAACTCGGGCAAGACTTAAAAAGTGATCTTTTATTAATGACTTTTGAGACACTTTTATGTTTTCTTTTAATTAAATACAAGAGAAAAAGCTTGGTTTTTACTGTGATAAATGGAATTTCAATTGAAAGAAAAAAAATTGCACTGTTACAAATAGAATTAGTTGGGAAGAGCGTACGAACATCGTGTTGATTTATTTACTCTGAGGACTTTATGTTGTTAGCAAAGTTAAATTTGAATTGAACACAAGATTTAACTTGTCTGTTTGTGTTCACAAACTAAAATATAAAATGTATTTGCTGTCTCAAGGGACGCAAAGACGGATTAATGAAACATTTTCGTGATTTAACTAATCGTTTTTGCAAGGGATTCCCCAAAAAAGTGTAACAATGACATATTTTTTTTTAGTGTCAATGGTATCAAATAAAAAAAAACCTAAAAAAATTGCAATTTCGTGGATGGCCACTCCAAGAGGCGAGACAGTCACCAAGACTGGGTATCCGGTATTTAATTATTAAAACTAATTGAATTACAATTTTTTTTAAGGTTAGAGTGTTGTTTTAGTGTCAAATCGAAACTCCCTAGAAAGTAACCAAAAATTTTCGCATTTTCGTGGAAATGGCCGCTCCAAGAGGTGAGACAGTCCCCAAACCCATTCAACAAGATTGGGTAAATCGCGAATACATCGAAGTAATAACAGTTAGTATAAAAAAGATCACCGATTTTCTCAATTCTTTCGGTAAGTGCAACCATCCTGTTGACAACCCAACAAATGTATTTTTAGACTTATCTTGTCGATCAAAACTCGCAGTTTTAAACGAAAAGTTGACAACTCTCGAGCGAAAAATCGATTATTTGGAAGCTTGTGTAAGTTATTTACATAATACGACCAAAGTTTGATTTGTATTCTTCAAGGTCACTAAAGGGGAAACCTTGACATAAAAATGCTCCTAACTCGTCTCCTCCCGCCTTTCATCCCCCAAACTCGCCCCTTCTTCCATTGGCTCGACATTGTCTTCAATCGCGTCGACGAAGAACGAAGAAAAATCGTGGGGCCCGATAGGTCATGTGCCGAGTGGTTGTTACGAAATGGGGCTCATGTCAAATGGGAGCATTGTAACGAATTTCTCACAGACTATAATAAACTACCAAGTGACAGAATTAGGTTACATCTTGTGGAAGTGTACGCATCGGAAGCCAGCATAATGCATTATGGTTTCGACCATTTTGTTGGGTGTGAACACATAAGAAAAATTATTTTCCACAAGTGTTACCATTTGGAAAATGAGGCGTTGAAAGGTTTAACCGCTTTAAAAAACTCCTTACTTTATTTACAAATCACCGAGTGTTTGAATATAACAGAGAGTGGCTTAATCCACCTCAACACATTAAACAATCTAAAAGAGTTAATTCTTGCAGATTTACCCTACATTAAAGAGAAGGAGAAAATCCTCGATAAATTACAACACAATCTGCCACATTGTACGATACAATTTCATTAAATTTAATCAACCTTCGAGTTGTTTTTTGATTGGTGGTGATGAAAGACCGATTTGTTCCCCCGATTCCAATTGTTTTAATAATCGGAATAGTGCAGCAGCCTCTCTAATTCGACTAAATTCGATACAAAACGCTTGAACCTCAATGAATAATTCTTGAACGTTGATTATTTTGTTCCGAATTAGTGATTGAAGGAATACACAAACTAATCTAACTAACCGATTTTGCATATAACGATCTTTGATTGTCTCACAAGTTGAGATACAATTCGAAATGTATAAATGGACAAACTCTGTGGGCAAATCCACGGTTGTTGTTAACCGATTTACCACTTCCATTGAATGCAACGACATTTCCATATTGACCAAAACACTGAAATATTCCGTTATTTGTTTCGATTGCATAAGTTTGAGTAAAACTTCAATGGCGATAAGTGGGTTGTTTTCGACCAATTCAGGCAACTGGAAACGTTATCATTAGAAAAATAAATACCCCAAGGTTTTTATACTTTAGAAGGTGTTAAACCAATGTGGTAGACAAGTTTCGAATCATTTTCCAATTCTCCTAATAATTGTTGTTGTTGTTGCAAAGATAGCGCTGATTTGTAAGCCTTATTCATCAAAAGTCGGGCTTCTTGACCCGCTGTATCAGGGACACACATTGTTACATCATATGCTACAGTGTGTTCCTTAATATTAGTCGGGTTTAACCACACCATCTGCAAAAAAAATTATTAATCAAAATTTTTATCATTTTCTAACATTACTTCATCTTCTGTGTCTAATAAAGGCGGTGCTAGTGTCACAAATTCAGGTTTGTATACTTTATTAATGGGGGCACTATCACCACTTGCTATACTTTTAACAAGACTAGTATAATCACCCTCTTGTGACACATAATTGTTGGTTTTTTCAGGCAGTGATAAAATTACAGGAATTCCAGTTTTGCAAGTTTGTGGCAATTCGGATTGTTTTTCAGCGAGTAGTAATTGTACGACTGAAAAATCAAAATTTGTTTGGACATTCCCCACGTCTGAATTGATTATTTGAGTGGCTGTTTTTTTCAGTATCTGAAACAAAAAATGTGTGAATGAAACAAAATTCAGAGTCTTACAGCATCTTTGGGGACGTCTGCCAACAATTGCATCAGAAATTGTCTCTCAGGTGGTGTCAATTTGGGTAATTGGCCCGGATATTCGAGTTTGGGGGCCCCCACACTACTCTGGTGTTCAGGGGGGTGCAAAAGGTGGTTGAAAACGTTAACAAAAGGGGTGTTTGCGAGCGATTCGCCACGATACAACTCATGTAAAAGTGTTACAGCGACGAGTTTTTGTTCAGGTTCTTTCAGGAGGTCCTGCTGAAGCAACATCACCAGACAAGTACCCACTGAAAAATTTCAGTCATTTCAGGCTTTAACGTGTGGTTTTTACCCTTGAAATAGTCACAAGACTCGAATTTTTTGTGCAACTCATTCGAAAGGCTCTCTAAGGTGTGGGTCCTCACTTTAGTCTCACCCAAAATACTGAAACAAAAAAAATCAAATAAATAAATAAGGGGGGTCAATGGACTGTATTGTAGTACTCGAGTAAAATATCACATTGTTCCACTGTGAGGGCCATCGCATAATTTTAATAAAATTGTATTAAAAGCAAGAAACACAAATTCGGACATAACCTAGTTGTGGACACAAAACCGAAAGTGCAATTGAGCGACTCAAAACTAACTCTAGTCTCACCTTAACCAAATAATGCAAACACAATGTTTATAATAAATAAATCAATTAATTAAACACTTGTTTGTATTTTATTTCAAAGTAATTGCAATATTTATTCTTTTTTCGACCTTGTCCTCACTCGACCACCATGTCTAATTTTAATAAAAATATTATTTCGACTATCGACTTGTCTTTTTCATTAATTAAACAATCCAAAACATGACAATGTTTTTCCACAAACAAATCAATTAATTAAATGAGAATTAAATTTTATTTTTCGACCTTGTCATCATTCGAGCGCCTCACTTGGCGTCCCAATTGACATTTCCCATTTATTTTCCCCAAAAACCCGAAAAAACGATGTTTAATGTGTGAAATAACCGTTGTGGTGCAATGGCTTCGTCTCAAGACGCCTGGTACTTGTCCCTGTTGGGGCTCGCCGAACATTTCCGCACCTCGAGCCCCCCTATGATAAAACTGTGCATCCAGTGCCTCCAAGCTGTCTTCAACTTCAAACCACCGCCTCGAGTCGAAGCACGGACTCATCTCCAACTCGGAAACATCCTTCTCACCCACACCAAAAACACCGACTTGGCGAAAAACCACTTGGAACAAGCGGTAAGCAAACAGCCCCCTTAACCACCCCATTGACTTTGCCTTTCAGTGGTTGTTGTCGCAAATGATTAACACTTTCGACGATGTTAAATTCGAAGCAGCAAGCGTTTTGGCTGAATTATACGAACAACAGCAACAAATTTCACTATCGAAACCGATTTTGAGGAAAGCAATTGAATTATCACAACATAATGTCTATTGGCATTGTAGATTAATCTTCCAACTTGCGGTAATTCCCCCAAAGTGTGTTTTTTTTACTATTTGTTGAAATTGTAGCAAATACACGCCACTGAGAAAGACTATCAATTAGCGAGTAGTTTACTGGGGGTTGGGGTTGATTATGCCCACATTTCCAATGCTTGTTACACCCGAGTTTTATTTCTTTTAAGTAAAGGAATGGTAAGATTGTTTTCCACTTTGTTGTTATCTCAAAATTCAATTTTTAGTTGTTATTGATTGATAAAAAATTGCAAGAAGTTCAACCAGTATTAAACCAAGCCGGGCATTTGATTGAGACATGGACAGGGGCTGCGTATCAAAAGGAATATTTAAGAGTTTATTTCCTAGTCTTACAAGTTTGTTTTCTAAATTTTTGGTGTTTTTTGTACGAAAATTGTTGTTTTAGGTGTGTCATTGTCTCATGGCCGGTCAAGTAAAAAGTGTAAAACCTTGTTTGAAACAATTACAACAAAGTATCCAAACAATAATGGCAACTGATGATGTTTTTACAGGGCCAAGTGTTGGTGATATGTTTTTATGGATGCCTAAAGAGCATCTTTACGTTTTAGTTTATTTAGTAACAGTGATGCATAGTATGCAAGCTGGTTATATGGAAAAAGCACAGAAATATACCGATAAGGCTTTAATGCAAATCGAGAAATTGAAAAGTTTGTTTTTTACGTTATTATACAGGGTGTTTCGTCTAAACCCCAACTTCCAAGTATTGGGAGTTTGAATAATTGTATTTATTTGAAAATTGGTACATAGTCATAAACCATTAAGTCTTCCTAAATGAAAATATTTTCAAGATGGTGGCATTTCCGGTTAGACCGGAAGTCGGTCTCAACTTTCTTATTTTAAATGGAAAGGTATATTTTTTAGTGTCTTTTTGGATTAATTGGGTTATTTTAAGGGAGTTTTCATCAGCTTTCCCTATACCTAAATTTAGCCGTTTTTGAAATATTTGGAGTTTTTCAAAAAATTTTGGATCTGCACCTTCCACTTTAAAAATCGGTGCCATTTTTAAAGATTTTGAATTCGCTTTTTTGGCGTTTGAAAGAGAAAGCTTAGATCCTTTTCCTGGTGTTTTCAAATTTTGAAAAAACAAATTACATATCCCAAAATTTGTAATAATTCAAATACTCATCTCATTTTTTTTCTAGACTTGCAAAAAACATTTAAAAATTTCTTAAAGAAATGCTTAAATTTAAAAAAATGTCATTCGAGACGTTTTAAAACATCGTGCTACAAAAGACAGTTGGGGAGACTAAGAAAGTGTCAGATGTATTGGTTTAAAAAATAACAAAAAGCAAAAGAAAAAACTATAAGTTCAAATAATGTATTTTTATCATTTTGTGAAAATTGTTCACTGAAAGTTTTTCTTTAAACAAATGAGAAGAAATATATAACTTTATTGTATTCTAAGAGAGAGATCTTATTGTTATTATTATTATTATTAAATAAAACTAACAAAGAAAAAATTTTCGATGGAAAAAAATTGTCAAAATAAATAAGAATTAGACATTTTAGATCAAATTTTTCAATTTTGGCAAAGTCTTGAATTTTGAGCGTTTTTGGTTATAAAGTCCTTCTAAACTTAAAGAAAATAACAAATTTTCGAGTTAATTTAGCTATTTTCTACTTCACGATATTTTTCAAATTTAGTAAGTTTCTCAAAAAAAAACGCTTTTTAAAACTTGGAAGAATTACGTATTTTCAGATTTAATTTTGTACTTTTCTGCCTTGTTTCTGGCAAAAAATTTTGGATTTTAAAAGCTTTACGTATAAAAAATGCTCTAAATTTCACAAAATATTCAAATCCTGTTGGATTTTTTATTTAGTATAGTGTCAATCGAGAATTTTCAAAACATCGTGCTATAAAAGACAGTTGAGGAGACTAAGAAAGTGTCAGTTGTACTGGATTAAAAAATTTCTTAAAGGAATGCTTAAATTTAAAAATGTCAATCGAGACTTTTTTCTAGATTTGCAAAAAAAACCGTTTAAAAATTTCTCAAATAGAAATGCTCAAATTTAAAAATTGCAAATTGAGATTTTTGAAAATATCGCGTTACAAAAGACATTTGGGGAGACTAAGAAAATGTCAAAAAATAACGGCTTAAAAAATTTCTAGACTTGCAAAAAAACATTTAAAAATTTCTTAGAGAAATGTTTGAATTAAAAAAAAATGTCGATCGAGACTTTTTAAAAACCGTGCTATAAAAGACAGTTGGGGACACTAAGAAAGTGTCAGACTGGTTTAAAAAAATTTTAGGCTTGCAAAAAAACATTTAAAAATTTCTTAAAGAAATGCTTCGATCAAAAAAAATGTCAATCAAAATTAAAATTTTAGGGTTTGTTAATTTTTTTTTTCAAAATTTGAAAACACCGTATGAAAGATCTAAGCTTTCTCGTTCAAACGCCAAAAAAACGCATTCAAAATCTTAAAAAATGGCACCGATTTTTAAAGTGGAAGATGCAGATTCAAAAATTTTTGAAAAACTCAAACGGCCAAATTTTGGTATAGGAAAAGCTGATAAAAACCCCCTTAAAATAACCCGATGAATCCAAAAACGCAGTAAAAAATATACCTTTCCATTTAAAATAAGAAAGTTGAGACCAACTTCCGTTATAACCGGAAGTGCCGCCATCTTGAAAATATTTTCATTTAGGAGGACTTAATGGTTTATGGCTTTGTACCAATTTTCAAATAAATACAATTATTTGAACTCTGAAGACTTTTAATGTGGGGTTTAGACGGAACACCCTGTATTTGAATTTTTAATAAGTTTTCAAACAGTTGTAGATAATAAACCGATTTTATCGGTTTTTCAATTAATGTTACTCGAACATATAATTATGTGTAGACTCGTAATGGGGAATAAAACTCAAGCATTACAAGAAATCTCATCAGCGGTGGCACTTTGTCGACAAAATGCCAAATTATTAGAGACACATGGGCCCCAATTACACACCCTTTTGGGGCTATATTCAATGAGTATGAATTGTATGGAGGCGGCTGAGGCGCAATTCATGGCGGCGTTACACGTAATTAGGGTTTTTAAACGGAAATGTCACTAGTTGCTATGGAGATGTGACTAAATGACAAATTTGACATTTGTTGCTAGGGTTATTTAAACAGAAATGTCACTAGTTGCTATGGAGATATGACAAATTTGACATTTGTTGCTATGGTAATGACAAACTTTTGGTGATTTTGGTGATTTCCGTTTAAAAAAAAAACACCATATTTGTAGTAGAATTTTATTTAATTTATTATTTAATAAATGTGTTGTAGACGTCACGTGAACGTGAATTATGGACGTTTGCAAACTTGAATCTAGCAATTGTGTATTTGAGGGGTAAACGAGAGTCGGATTTTAATGCCCTTCATGAAAGGATTAATCCTGAATCTTTGCCATCTCATTCTCATAGTTTACGAGCTGCTGCTTATTACGTCCAAGGTCTTCAAGCGTTTTTTCAAGGACGTTACAATGAGGCCAAGTATGTGTTTGGCAACCCTGCAACAATCAAATTTTGCACTGTTGCCAGTTTTTGATATTGTGATTTGTGTTTAAGGAGGTATTTGCGCGAGACGTTGAAGATGGCGAATGCCGAGGATTTAAATCGGTTAACGTCGTGTTCGTTGGTGCTTTTGGGGCATATTTTTCTCTCGTTGGGGAATAGTCGTGAAAGTATGAATATGGTAACGCCGGCAATGCAATTGGCGAGTAAAATCCCCGATGTTCATGTACAGTTGTGGGCGTCTGCGATTTTGAAAGGTTGGTAGGATTGTTTGGTGTTTTTTTGGTGATTTTGTTTTTTTTTTTGTAGATTTGTATAGGATGTGTAATGATCCGCAAAGTGAGAATGAAGCGTATCAGAGACATGTTAATTTCTCACAAATGTTACTCAATGATCATTTTCAAGCATCACAAATGCCCGAACATAATTTGATTATGTGGACACAAGGGAGTTTTCCCAACATCACCAATTCGCCGAATACGTCTGGAGTTTTATTGTAATCGACTATTTATTAATTTGTATTCGAATTTATTTTTTATATAATTGGTCTTGAATAAAACGATTAAAAATTGCGTTTGTCATTTTAGCACTTTGGTATATCTTGCATTGACCCGATTCTACATAACATTAGTTGACATTTGAATTTTTTGACGTCCCGCCAAATTCAAAATTTTTTGAAGATAAATATTAACTTTTCATGGAAATTTCCCTTTTTCTCAAGGACATTTATTTAAAAATGCTGGCATTTTTGCCATGTTTTAAAATTGTGGCCACTAATTGAATATTTTTAAATTGAATTATTACGTAATTTCCCGTAAAAAGTCAAATTACCGCACATTTTTTTTTGGATTTGGTATATCTTGCATTGACCCGATTCTACATTAGTTGACATTTGAATTTTTCAAATTTTGACGTCCCGCCAAATTCAAAATGACATTTATGGTCACTATTTTTAGGGTTTTTGAAGATAAATATTGATTTTTCATGGAAAGATCCCCTTTTTTCAAGGGCATTTAATTAAATGCTGTCATTTTTGACACTTTGTATTTCAAATCTTGACAAATTAAAAAAAAAAAACTGTCAACTGAGAAATTTGACGTTTTGGTGCTTAAATCAAATAAACACATCGGTAAAAAGAGACAGCTCAAGTAGCACATTTAATCTTTTAAAAAACAAATCAGCTTTATTGTTATTTTATAACTAATGTATGTATTACCAACTTGTTTTATTACAGATCTAATTATGATCAAAAGGAGTTTGGCTATAGCATTAGCTATACAGGATGTTCCGTCTAAACGCCACTTTAGAAGTATTGGGAGTTGGAATAATCATATTTGTTTGAAAATTGGTACATAGCCATAATGCATTAAGTCCTTCTAAATGAAAATATTTTCAAGATGGCGGCACTTCCACTTATACCAGAAATCGGTCTCAACTTTCTTATTTTAAATAGAAAGCTATATTTTTTAGTGTCTTTTTGGATTAATTGGGTTATTTTGAGGGAGTTTTCATCAACTTTCCCTATACCTAAATTTAGCCGTTTTTGAAATATTTGGAGTTTTTCAAAATTTTTTGGATCTGCACCTTCCAATTTAAAAATCGGTAACTCTGCCGTTTTTTAAGATTTTCATTTCGTTTTTTCCCAAAATAATGGAAAATTACCTCAAGAACGCTCTAAAAAACTAACAAAATGTCTTGTTTTTGAACACCCCAAAATGGCTTTTTACTTCTGGGCCACGACATTTGGCGTCTTAAAAAACAAGGCAGAATCTTAGAAATTCAGCTGTTCTCCCAAAGGTAAACATCCGAAAAAGACCTAAAACCCTTCAGAATTAAAGCATTAATTTTTATTAGTAGGTATTATTATTTTATTAGTACCCCAAAAGTACTCAAATATCCGTAGACCACCAAAAATTGAGCATATGAAAAAACCGTTGAAAATCACCCAAAATCATGTAAAATTATCTCACGAGCACTCTAAAAAACTTACAACATACCGTGATTTTAGAAACTCCAAAATGGCTTTTTATTTCTGGACCAGAAAAACAACACCAAATCAAAAAGGTATATTTGGCGCCTTACAAATCATAATTTTTTATGTTCCCAAAAAATACTCGAAACTCRATAGACCACCAGAAAATGGGCACATGGGAAAATCATCCAAAATCAAACATAATTACATTAAAAAAAGCACCCAAAAAACCTTACAGCATTCCTTGTTTTGAGACACCCCAAAATGGATTTATTTTTACTTCTAGAGAAAGCATTGGCACATGCAAAAAGTTCACTGGGCGGTGTGGCGACCGGTAATAATATTAAACAAATAAAAGCTCTTGTTTTTAGATTCCCAAAATGGCTTTTTTATTTCTGGACCAGGATAATAATTGGTAAAATCCCTTGGTTTGCAACACCCCAATATGCGACTATGCCTTCAGAATGTTTACAGAATTAATAAAAATAAGTGCAAAACATTCCC